CAAAATAAAATAATAAAAGGTTCTTCAAACTCAATTAAAATAATTAATTAAAATTCAAGGTGTTAAAAGGGTTACTCCGAAAGCTAGAGCCTGCTGGATGCCCTGCAAAAAGACAAAGAATCTTGGGAGAAGAAGTTGGCAGCCGCGAGGACAAGGCCACCACTAATGAGAAGTATTTGGGAACATCTATGGAAGATGCCCTTCGCTAAAAAAAGAAGTTGGATGGCAAGGTGTCAGATGTCAGGGATGAATTGAGTATCAATTTTTGGTGCCTATTTTGAGCGGGCGAAAGATCAAGTTTTCTTCTTATATCACCAACTAGACCTGAGCAAGTTGGACCTCTTTCAATTCATTCGCGAAAACCATTTTGTGAATGACGAGAAGGTATACACATTGGAGTCTGGATAATCTTCCTCGACGAAGGACACCCAAGATGACAATATGGTGATGGAAGGAGGCATATATGAAGCTCCTATGGGGAGGATCAGTAGACGAGTTTTTCTGTTGTTTTCTTTGGCCCATAGTGGCCTTTATTGTATTTTTGCCCTTGTATGGATTTTTTTTAAACACTAAGACAACATCGCCTCTTGGCGTCTTTTATGTTAACTGCCTTATCGATATTTTTCTGTTGGTGTGGTTGTTTTTGAATGATTGTGTTGAGCTTTATTTAGGGATATCAGTTAATACTAGACCTCATCCCCTAAGGAGACACAAGTATCTACAATGTTACTTACCCAATGGAGCAATAAATATCACTTTTGGGGATCCAATAATTCAATCATATTCTTTCAAGGGGATAGTTTATATGATTGAATTAGACATGACATCATTGTTGGCTCTATATTTTTGGATGCTTGCTGGTGGTTGTGGCGTGCTAGGAACAAATTGCGTCTTGCGAATGAAGTGGTATCTTCCTATACTTTGAATGCACACAAAGGTAGTAATATAATTTTGAATGTTGATGGTAGTAGCGTGACATCGGTAATCCCGACGTCTCAGATTATAATGGATTGATTCAAAATTCTGATGGTGTTAGGGCTCAAGTTCACGATTTTTTGGGTAATATTGATTATTCCAACACCCTTCATCCTAAGCTGATAGATTACGCTATATCATGGTTTGCATATGGACTAAAAACTTAGCATCAAAGATATGATGTGTTATTCTGACTCCAACTCTAATGTCAAACTCTTCAGAGTTTGTTAATGTTTGACATCAATGTGTCACGATTCTTCACAATATTAAAGAGTTTCTCTCTAAAAAAATGATGAATTCTAATATTTTATATTCTTAAAAAGGAAAATGCTTATTGTGACTATTTAATAAATCACGAGGCTAATAAAATCTGGCGTACTATGTTAACTTGGCTGCAGATCTCCCACGCTTCTGTTGGATGGAAAGAGGAGTTGAATTGAATGGTTGGTAAAGCTAGGAGCAAAGGTGCTTCAGTGGATCTTCTTAAGTGTTCTTTTGCGGAGACGGTTTATGTAATTTGGAAAATGATAAATGTTTTCTGTTTAGATAAGGTTAGTAAAAGTTTGGCAATTGAAAACCAGATTATTGAGAAGATAATCTTTAGAGGGTGGTTGAATCCTAAAATAAGGCATAGATTAAGTATATTAATGTTGCCTTAGTTTAGTTTTTGATTTTTGAATAAGCAATATATATATATATATATATATATATATATATATATATATATATATATATATATATATATATATATATATATATATATATATATATATATATATATATATATATATATATATATATATATATATATATATATATATATATATATATATATATATATATATATATATATATATATATATATATATATATATATATAACCACTGGCATCAGGAATGCTAGATTAAACAAAGTACAAATACATGGAACAACTTGGAGGAAACAAAAACCAAATTGTCCACCATAACACCACCAAAAAAAACTAACCTCAATACTAAAACCACAAGCTACTAATAGAGCAAAAGAATACAAAACAATAAGACTGCCTGGGCCTAACTCAAAACCTTCCACCTGTTGAAGCTATTGATATTATACATAGAGATTGTCACAACATGGAAAACCATATAGACTCAATACCGACTCAAGCAAAACTGTTGGAACCTTCGGGAAAAAAAGAGACTTGAGCAGACAACAAATTCCTATCCAAGGAAGGACGTTGGGTTCAAGAACCATTATGCTGAATTACAAATAGCATTTTTATGCTTATTACTTAACCAATTCCAAGATATCCTCCGCGTCTCTTCGAATAGTTGCTCCAAGCTTGTAACCTTGTTCCTGAAAATGATGTTATTTCGGGCTTTCCAAATGTTCCAAATGCATGTGAACCAAATGATTCTCACTCTGTTGATAGTATGTTTGCCACCATAAAAAAGAGATCCAAATTGATCCAAGTGCTCTCGACACTCTCTAAGAAGAACAACAGACAGTCCAAACCACCTGATTACCTGACTCCAGACACCTGTAAAAAAGGGACACTCAAAGAAAATATGTGAAACTGATTCCTCCACACCACACCCTCTCACGCAAACAACCGCCTCCCTACTTATTATGTTTCTTCTATAAAGATTGTCCCTTGTAGGAAGTCTATTGTGCCACAATCTCCACACTAAATAGGATACCTTTGAAGGTACAAACTTTTGCCAAATTTCGCATCACGATCTTTCAATTTTTATCCTCTCGTTTGCTCACAACTTCTTATAACTCTCCTTAACCGAATAAGACTCCACTTGATCTGATTCTCCTATATCTAAACTGCTAACATCCCTCCACCACAACGAGAAATTAGAAATGACATTCCTAGATGTTCCGTCTAATCCTCTGTATCTATCAATCAAAATTTTATACCAAAGACACGATCTCTCATTTTTTTAGTTTCGACAACCATTTGTCTAGGAGAGCCAAGTTAAAAATTCCCAACTTCTTTATACCCACCCCTCCCTCTTCAACAGGACGACACGCCTTGTCCCACTTAATCCAACTAACTTTTCTATCCCCCGTATTGCCCCCCAAAGAAAAGATTTAAATATAGATTCAAATTTAGCGATGATACCTAAAGGAGCTCTGAAGATGGACAAGAAATAAACAAGAATAGCTGACAAGATAGATTTTAACACTACCACTCTACCTCTGATTGAAAGATGCTTATGTTTCCAATTTGACAATCTCGATTTCACCATTTCCAGCATCGGCTGCCAAGTTTTCAATCTTCTATGGTTGGCTCCTATTGGAATCTCCAAGTATATGAATGTGATAGGTCTAACCTTACAGTTAAGAATTTTCGCCACTTCTCTGAGCCAACAATGACATACATTGATTCCTATGATGTTGCTTTTCTGAAAATTGAATTTCAGCCATGACAGTATTTCAAATAACATCAGGTTTACCTTTATGCTTCTAATATTCCTCCACTTCTTTTCTCCTATTATTAAAGTATCGTCGGTGTATTGAAGGTGTGATATGTTCTCCGCGCCGTTCTCAAATTTGTACCCAGAGAAATTTCTTGAGTCAATTGCTTTTCTCATGATGAGGTTGAAACCTTCCGCTGCTAAAAGGAATAAGAATGGCGACAAAGGGCCGCCTTGCCTCAGACCTCTGCCCGCATTGAACTCTTTTGTAGGGCTGCCATTCACCAACACAGAGATCATAGAACTTTTCAGACATGCTAGAATCCACCTCCTCCATTTCTCATGAAAACCTACCTTTGTCATCACTTCTTCAAGAAACTTCCATTCAACTATGTTGTATGCCTTTTCGAAATCCACCTTAAACATTATCATATATTTTTTCTTTCGTTTAGCTTCGTCCACCACTTCATTAGCTATCAAAATACCGTCTAGAATTTGTCTCCCCGAAATTAACGCTGATTGAGTCTTAGAAATTAGCGACCCCATCACCTTTCTTAATCTGTTTGCTAGCACCTTGGATATTACCTTGTAAATGCACCCAATTAAAGAGATAGGTATGTATTCTTCTAATCTTGAGGGATTCTTCTTCTTCGGGATTAAAACAATGAAAGAAGAATTTGCTCCTTTAACCATCCTCCTATGAGTATGAAATTATTCCATCATTCCGACGAAGTCACTTTTGATCTCGACCCAAAAATCCTTCACAAATCCCATATTCACTCCATTTGGACCTAGACTTTTTGTATTATCACAGTCCCAAATCGCTCTACAAATTTCTTCTTCTGAGAATTCTTTGACCATCTCATCTTTCTCGCCTCACTAACTTGCTTGAAGTTTAAATTTGCCTTTATATTCTTTGTGATTCTCGACGAAAATTGATACTGAAAATGATTAAAAAAAATGGCATTCTTCATTTCACCCACTTCTTCTACCTTTTTTCCATTGACATCTGGTGACACAATTTCATTATCTCTTCTCCTCCGATTGATATATCCATAAAAGTACTTTGAATTCACATCCCCTTTTCTTAGCCACTTAATTCTCGACTTTTACCTTAGAATGCTGCAATATAAATTTGAGAAGTTAGTGTCTTGTTTTGATTTTTTTAGGTGGCTAGATCGTGTATCATCTTATTTTATACTTATTTTTGGTTTAATAAAATTTTATTCTTCCAAAAATAAATAAATCACGAGACTTTATTTTTAGTGAAACTTTATTTTTTAAATATTTTTTTCTTCTTTTCTCATTTATATAAAAAAAAGGTAAAATAATAAAGTAAGTAGATATTTATTGATATCGGATTTTGCATCCAAAAATAATAATTTAAATAGTTAAAAAAAAACAGCAAAAGTGAATCGTAACAAAGAATGCAAGTAGTATTTGAAACTCGTCTGATATCATCATCATCGTCACATATATGATAAAGCCACACTACACGCTCCACGTCATCATCCTCAACCTATTTCCCCACAATATACAGAAACACCAAAACACTCTCTCTCTCTCTCCGATTTGAATCTCGCTGACTCTGATTCTTCCTCTCTGGATTTCTTATTGAAGATGCGACGCGCTGCATCCAAGAAAACGGGTCAATCCAATTCCAACGTCAATTCCTCCGCCACGGATCTATTCCGCTCCGGTATTCTTTCACCTTCAATTTCTTTTTCCAAACCTTAACTCTTAATTCATCTTCAATTTCGTTTTCCAAACCCTAACTCTTCATTCATCTTCAATTTCGTTGATTTATACTCTACCCATGTTTGTTTCTCCTATTTGTTCTTATATAATTCAAATTGAGGTTAAGCTCAGATATAGGGGTTAGGTTATGTTTTCTCATGGTTATATTAAAGTTTATTTTTTTAAGGTCAACCCTTCTCGTTGAAAGTTAATTTCTGATATGGTTCTGTAGGGTTTGGATGTATGCAAGGTTTTTGATTCATATGTTTACAATGTCTCGAGTTGTTTTTTAATTACCTGTGTTTTCATGTCTCTTTTATGTTTTTCTGTCGTGGTATCATATTGATGCTGTTGGTTAAACATGATTGGGCTGGTATGTTCTAATAGTATGGGCGTAATTTTTCAGCTTCGAGTAAAGCTAACTCAAAGGAGCTGGAGCGAATTGATAGTCTATTTTATTCTTATGCCAATGGATCTAGCGGAGTGATTGAGTAAGTATGCTTCAACTTATGTAATTCTAAATTTAATTACATTGATAGAATTATATTATATGCCATTGATGTTTTCTCGATTCAAATTTCAAATCTTGGACATTCATATATGTGGATTAATTTTAATAGCATTCAATTAGTGGTTACTTAATGCTGTAAATGAACTGTTATAGCTTACCGAATTTCTTACCACAATACTTGTAGCCTGAACTGAATTTTCCCCTCACCTCCCACAGTTTGATCCTACGTATTATTTGTGCCCCACCCCCTAAACAAGTCTTTTCGTGATCAGTGTTGTCAACCGCAGATTGCAGAAAATAGCTATTTGTTTAAATTTCTGTATGCTACAAGTACAGAGTTATTTCGGCGATATAACGGTTATTTGACAACACTTTGTACTACATAGCGCATTGCAGAACAAGAGTGGTTTGTTTAAATTCCACTATGTTATAGCGTTGTAGCACCACTATAGCCGCTTTTTGACAACACTGGTCGTGATCAAACAATGTCATTAGGTTCTGCTGACAGACAGGCACATGTGTTCAAGTGACAGACAACCACCTTCATGTGGCTTCTCTAACATGGGTATCATCGTGTTCGTGATGTTTGTCAATGGACACTTAATAAGATGCTGTGATGTCAGTCAAAACCTGCTTCATGCAAAGAAAACATGGTGGTGGACGTTAGAACTTTGAAGTGTAGGGGATGATGGCTCCCCTATCTGGCAAATGGCAATGCCCGACCCTCATATTTTTTGCTGTTTAATATTCATCATTTTCTGCCCATGCCACCTATGACAGTTTCTTGAATTAAATGAGGACATTTAAGACCTATTTTGATATAATTTTGTTTTGCAACTTCTTATGAGGGAAATGCATGCTGATTAATGCAACATCATAATGTTTGTTAAAAATTGTTTGGTTGGAATTGTAATTTTTAGATAGATTTTAAACATGGCTGATACATAGCCTTGAAGCTTGGCGTTGGTCCAATGTTGGTCTTGGAAGAGGGAGAGACTTAAGGTTGTGGTAGCTGAGATAATGGATAGTGTCATCATGTTTTAAAAGAATTATTTTATTTTATTTAGTTTGACTATACTAGCTGATAGTTGCACCAATCACTTGGTAAGACTTGATAATATTCACTCATGCTATCTGTTTAGATTTGAAAAAAATTTAAATCACGGATGTAAGTAATAGAAAACAAAAGAAACCAAAGTATCAGATGAAGGAGAATTACTGTTTTTAGAATCCTAGATACTTGGTGGATAAGTGAAGTTTTTTTCTTATACAATCATATTATGTACAAGTGTTTACATTTTTAAAGTAGGTTCACTATAGTTTTATAATTTTGTTACAGCCCAGAAGGAATTGAAGCACTCTGTGCTGATATGGAAATAGATCATACTGATTTGAGGATTTTGATGCTAGCGTGGTAAGCTACAGTTCTTTTCTTAATTGTCATTTGATGCCATATTCTCATATCTTTATCTTAAGTTTATGTTTGGAGTTAACAAAGACTAAACCTGACAGGAAAATGAAATCTGAGGAGCAAGGATATTTTACCTTGGTATGTATATATCACGTCCATTGTTAACCTTTCTCTCAGAATCATTTCAATTTTTGAACTTTGGACCCTAAGTACAGTTTCATATAGGTCCTTTACTTACTGTTTTCTGACCACAGCACTTAACTTATCAAACCGAACTTAAGTTCTGTCCTTCTATTAATAAAATTTTATACATTTAAGACACCGATATTTGGAAAAAAACGGGTCTTGGTTATGTTTGGTACAACAATACAACACAATCATGTATTTTTGGTACCTTGTTTCTTTTCCAATCCTTATACTGAATAATTTTTAACGTAACACCTATATATTTTGTAGGATGAGTGGAGGAGAGGCTTAAAAGCACTAAGAGCTGATACAGTAAGTAAATTGAAAAAGGCACTTCCAGACCTAGAGAAGGAGGTATGATTATTTGAGTGATACTCTTGTAGATGGATTTTGTTGTTGATAAGAAAATATTTTATTATCTGCTAACTTTTTAATTTTTTTAAAATTTGACATCTAATGTGAAGGTCAGGAGGCAGTCAAATTTTTCAGATTTCTATTCGTATGCTTTTCAATATTGTCTAACAGGTAAACTTTGATGTGATTTTGGATAAATTGATTTTAGCAATTGGCTTTTCTTTTTGCTCATTCGTTATATGTCCTATATCTAACTTTTCCAATTTTACCAGAGGAGAAACAGAAAAGCATTGATATAGAGAGCATATGTGAATTACTTACTCTTGTTCTGGGTTCAACATTTCCAGTTCAAGTCAGCTTATTTGTGGAATATTTGAAGGTGAATAATGTGTATATCACGTTACTGTTTTTGTTCTTTACTTTGATTCTTACATGTTTTTATTATTTATGGTAGAATCAAAATGATTACAAGGTCGTAAACATGGACCAGTGGATGGGTTTTTTCCGGTTTTGCAATGAGGTAGCTTCTTTTTCTGCTATGTATAGATTGCTTTTATGATAATAATTATCAAGAAGGTGATATTGCTTAACCCTCTGTCACCTATTGTAATCAAATCAAATCTTACATGTTTTGTTAATCTGTTGCTACCTGTTGCATTTGTTGTATTCTTAACCTCTTTCTTTGGATATATAATCTTTCCACAGATAAGTTTTCCGTCGCTCAATGACTATGATCCTGAACTTGCATGGCCCTTAATCCTGGATAATTTCGTTGAGTGGTTGCGAGAAAAGCACACGTAACCTGATATCTTTCAGCCATCTGATTCTCTGTACCATGCACTCCCTGGTACGTGAGTTCATTAAATGTTTTAACCATCGAGTTTAATAAAGAAAATATTGTCGATATAAAATAATTTTACACCAATATCCAATAAGACCACGACATTGGACGTTGGTGTAAAATAGTTTTCTCTTAACCATTTATTTATTGTTATTGTTGCTGTTTTTCAACTCTTCTGTTTCTAACTTTAACTTGTATAAATTGGTTTATTGACAGCACTCTTTTGAACAAGAGAAGCTGTTGGATTACCAAATCAGATGTGTGCTTTGTGGCTGTTTATTGTACTCAACAAACTATACTGTACTTTTGTTGGCCCAGTTTCTTAATGGGAATTCTAAATATAAACTGTTGTTACTTCTATTTAAAAAAAAATATATTTCATCTTATAGATGCAGTTGAGGTTAGATACAAACTTGTACTCTGTAATCATTAACAATGCCAACATCATATATTTTATTCATATCATTCACCTAAGAGCTTTAATGATGTTATGCCTCTAGTAGTTTGAGAAGTTAATGTAAGGAAAATTGATATTTTCATAAACATCAATTATTTTCTTGATCAAGCCATGAAGTTTTTAGTTTACAAAATAAAAAAGAATGCTTACATTATGTTAGTTCGAATGAAATTGTGCGCCAATCCTTTATGACATTGACACCTTTGAAAAAAATGTGTTTGTGTAAGTTTATGTGTTTCGGATTAATATTTGTGATTACGTTTAATTTATCATTTTTTTTCAAATTATCATTAGGATCAGGATCTCTTTGACAATGTCTCAAATTTTAGTCTTATGCATGAAAAAAACATGGTAACTCGTAAATGCTTTACAAATGTTACATGTGGCTATAAAAGCTAAAAAGAAACATCAAACAGAGTAACATGGATTTTTACTTGTTTCATTAGTGACAAACATTATTGTGAGTCAAAAGTAGTTGTTCTCTAAACATGCAGCTTTGTTGACTGAAATAGAGGTGAAGTTGGAAAAAGGGCATGGTCCAAATAGTTAAAGCCTTTACCCTTAAAAGAAAACCAACTATAAGGACACAGACAGAAAACGACAGCACCAATTTTCTTTAGTTTATGTTTTTCCCTCGCAGTGTCACTCACGTTGCTTTTGGAAATAATAATAATGGCAATGTAATATCTTATTATGTGTATGTATCTAAAGCATGTGTGTAACAGAACTGCAGTGGATGAAACATAGTGATTGTCAATAAATGTAAACCATTTATGACTTCGACAGACTAACAAAACATCATATTTGTTTGCAAACAAACTCATTTTCATTTTGAACATTTTTCTCAAGAGAATTTAATATTGTTATTGAGTTTGAATCCACAGTTGTACACAGATAATATCCAAATCATTATTACGTATACATGTATTTTTAAATCATCTATCTTTTTCTATTTTTTATGCTAGAGAATCTCTTTCTCTCTCTCTTTTTGATGTGTAATTGTATCAACTTTTTCATTTCTTTTTCCTATAATTCCCACCTAAGAGTTAGATGATGGCCCATCTCTTGATACAAATAAAAAAGCAGCATGTTTTGTCCATGATCCCTGCCTGATTTTTTGACTTAAAGCCTCGTTGGATGAATAATGATAATAACAAATTTCAATTAAAAATTCAATCTACAAAAGCAACTTTTACAAAGTTGATAAAAAATAAAATAAAAAATTGAAACATCAAGAAGAAGAGGAAACAACAATCAAAGGTGAAGATGGAGGAAGAGGTCGTCTTGTTCGACTTCTTCCTCTTCTTAATCCAGAGCTAGTAGAAGCTGCTGGTGAAGATGATGTTGAATTTGAAACATTAACTTTGTTTGGTTCATTTGTTAATGCTTGTTTAATTTGTTTTTCTTCTTCACATTGTTTGTCCTCTATTCTATGATGATGTCTCACTTTTGTTGAATTCAATGATACTGGTATAACACAATTGCATATAAAACCTGCAACAAATAAGAAAATATTATATTATCAATAAAAGTTTCTAGTACGTTGTGGATTAATATTATTCTCGAATTTTTATTTTAATTCTTTGAATTTTAATTTTTAATTAAAATAATCTTTTAAATTATTAACAATGGCATAAATATCAATGATCTACAATTTTCAAATTTTACAATCACATCTTCTTGAATATTATTTTTAAAATATTAATATTTATTTTTGTAAAATCAAAATATATCTATATTATATTTTTAATTATTGAATATTTATATTATATTAATACAATGAAGAAGTTTAATAGATATGACTGGCAATTTAATTCAATCATGGTTTATAATGTTGGTTTTGTTAAGATATTCAATATAGTAATATAATAATTTGTCACAACAGTCAAAATATAATCATATACTAAGAATAAAACATTGTTATATTTTATTAGTCAAATTAAACATTGTTACATTCTTAGTAAATAAAAGTGCATATATATAGGTTATTATAATGATTAGAAATATTAAAATACATATAAAACCTAAAACCTACTTCCATTTTCATCCTATAATATTTAAACTAATTTTTCTTATTTAAAAACTATTTATTTCTTATTCTTTTTTTCTAGGAAAAAATGATTATTTCTTGACTACTTGACTTTTCCCAACTAAAATATCGCCATCACTCCACACTTATAGCATATTAAAATGCCAATAAATTGACCAAAATAATAAAACGGCTACATGTTTCAATTTTAATTTTACTTTTTACAATACTAAAAATAAAAAACAAAGCAAAATAATGAAACTTTAAAACCAAATTCTCAAAGCCACAAAAAAAATATGACTTATTGTTTTCTGTTGAAAAAAAAAAAAGACTTAAACCAATCCCAAAGAAGAAGTGTAAACTTAAAGAATTCTTATATTCTTAACTAAAAATTACTTTTTAAATATAAATGATTTAAAAAAGTAAATCATATAGAGTAATAGTAATTGGATGAGTAATAATCAATTTGACCTAAAGGGAAACTCATTAGTCACCTTCACCAAACCAATTATATGTTTCTTAGAGTGCAATGTAAACCACTAGATCGATATCCAAAACAAGAAAAAGAAAAAGCATTGAAAAATAACTATGTATACTATAGTAGTAGTAAAAGATAGATACTTACCAATTCTAGCAAGACGATTAACCCAACTAGGTATAGAATTTCCAGTGAGCTTAACACAAGCATCATTGCAAAAATGGTTACAATTTTTTGTAATCAAATTGTAAGCATTTCCTTTGTATTCACCACCAAGTTTTTGCATCACTTCCCTCACTTCACCAAACTCTTTATCTGTTTTTCCAATCAATATTGTCTTCCTAAATCTAAAACCTTCACACTTTTTTGGATCTCCTTCAAATATTCCCGTTGATTCATGCTCATGTGCCCCAAATGCATACTCCACCCCATGAACTGAAAAAATAAAACAAAATATTTTATATTTTTTCTCAATCATCATAAGAATTTACTTTTCAGATTCATTGAATATTACCTTAAAAAATATGATTGCAATTAACTCAACCTACAAAAACCAGGTAGAATTGTCCAATATTATCTAATACTAGTACTTTTGAAGTTTGAGTTACTTCTAGAATTATGTACTAGAGAGACCATGAGGATTTTCTCCTAGATTGTAGATCTGAAGTGGGTTTGGAGAAATTAAGAATTATGTTTTTTTTTTTTTTTTTTTTGGAAAAATTAAGGATAAAGGTTTGTTGTTTTTTTCGTAGAAAATAACGAACCTTGAACGCCGGAATGGTAAACTCCGAGACCAAGCCAGTAAGCGTAACCGTTGAATGTTGTCAGATCGTACACGTTAAGATACACCGGCACGGATCCCGAAGCGGCGCCGTTTAGTGAAGCTTTTCCACAAAGTAACATTCTCGGCGGTTTTGCTTCTACTTCTATTTCTTCATGATAACCGGAACAGTTTTTTGGGTTGTTTTTTTCTTCAAAGTTATCCACTTTTCTCAAATGGGTATCTGAATTTTGAATAAGAAGAAGTTGAGATTGAAATTTGAGTGAGTGGTTTTGTTTTGGTTGTTATTGGGTTACCGGCGGCGGGTTTGCCGGTGGGTTTATGTTATAGTTTGGAGCATGGTTTTGTGTGTAACTGTATTTATAAATTGAAGAACTTGAAGAAGCTTTGATTTGTTCTGAAATTACGGTTTTGCCGTTAAACATGACCTGGTATCGAATGTACGGTATGATATATTTTTATTTGTTATTTTGAAAATTTTAAATTAAAATGAAAACAGTAACGTTTTCTAATAATTATAGCCCATGGGTGGGGGCATCCGGATTGTAAATGATTAATTTAATACATTATTTAGAAATATTTTTTGAATAGTATTATTTATAAAAGAAAAATGGACACGCATATGTAAAACAATTACACTACAATCAATCAACGATGTGTATTCTGTCACATCACACTTAAAATTTAAAAAATACTTTAATGATTTATCGGTTTTTTATTGGATGACATTACACGGTCATTGCATATCCATTATACTCTATTTATAAACATTCACTATTATTGGTTTTTTTTTTTGTGAAAATAAATATACCATCTTATAAAATATAATTAATATTTATAAAAAATTTGACTTGAGATTTTCTTTAGCAATTTTTGATACGACTGTTGTGATTTCCGATGAAACCACCACCTTTCCATGTGTGTTGTTTTATTCGACGTTGGTTTAAACTCCTAACCTTAAGGTTAGGGACCACTGAGGAGAAAAGAAACAACCATAAAACTTTTCAGGATGGCTCGAGGGTGGGGACAACAAAAAACTAAGGCATCAACGTCGACGATTCAACCATTGGTTCAAGGGGCAAGCAGAAGTAACAACAAAGATGGTCTGAAGAGTACTAGAGAAGATGGGGAGGACAAGGTCACATAAGAAAGAGATGTTTAAACCCTAGATAACAAATTAGTAAAAGAGGATACAACTGTGGATGAGATGCACAAGGAGAAGAAGCTATGGGTAGATGTTATTAGTGGGAACAAACTACATGCAAATGGAATGGTGCTTGAATACAAGGCTCCCAAAATTATGGAAGGGGAAGTATAAGTTGAAATTGAACCAGAAGATATTATATCTGAGATTAGATATTGGGAAGACGTTGTTATCATGTGCGTGCTTGGAAAGGATCTAAGTATGAATGTTGTGAATCAGTTTATGCTCAAATTTTGGAACTTTGTTTGGTTGCTAGAATTATACTATCATGAGATTTCAATCAAGCAAGGTGTAATACGGTGAGAGAACTGACTTGGTTGTTTTGTATTTGATTGCAATTGTTGCGGATAGCAAGAGTCGCCACCAACTTTCCTTTTATCCAATAAGAAAAGGGTGAAAAGAACAGGAAAGACCTTTGAGATATTTTCTTGAGTTCGGAGGGTAGGTTATGAAAACGGAACGTGTTAGCACCCTTTTCATCCGCAGTTATCTACGCGCTCTTAGTTGCTTGTAGGGATGGCAATAGGGCGGGTCGGGGACGGGTTTAGCTAGCCCCGCGCCCGTACTTGCACCCCTGTAGTAGACCCGTCCCCGCCCCCAAACTCGTTCAGGGATAAAAATTTACCCCCAGACCCGCCCCCAATGGGTAACGGGTCCCCCTCCCCCGCCCCCGTCCCCACCCGCGAAAATTGCTTTTTTTTAATTAAATAAAAATACTTGTTTTTTCCCACAAATTTCCTGGACAGCATGAACAAATACATTAAACAGTTCAAAATCCACCCTTAATTTGAGTAAAAAATTGTAGGATTTAATATTCAAGCACCATTACAATTATTTTTCAATCATAACCCTCAAATAATAAATTATGATTGGTTGTGATTCATTAAAAGAGTGTAATATTTCAATATATCAAAGTATAAATCACTCACAACAACCAATAATTTAATATAAAGTGCAAATACAAAAGTAAAACAATACCATCAACAAAAGAACCATTCCAAAAAGATGGAACAAAATATACTAAATCATTATAACAAAAAAATTCCAAATAAATAACAAATTTTCTAATAATCTTCATCTTCGAGGCGGGAGTTGGAAATAGAAGTAGCACCATCGATCAACAACTCACCTGTATTGAAAAATAAAAGTTAAAACATAAAAATTTAACTTGAATAATTTAATAAAAATAGTATTAATAATACCTTCATTATCATCAGACTCCATTTCAGTGAGTAAAATAGCATTTTCATTTTCCACTTTAGATTTCAAATTACCTATCAATATAGTAAAATATAGTCGATGATAATCTTGACAAGTAAAAATAAAAAATAAAAAAAGAAAGGTCTTACCATTATTCTCAGCACTCCATAACCAACTTCTTGCACACACTAAAGCTTCTAAAGTGGTCCAATGAAGTCGACTTCGATGAGGGCTTACGATATCACCACTTGTACTAAATGCAGATTCAGAAGCCACAGTAGAAACATGAATTGCCAATACATCCCTTGCAATTGCTTGAAGTATTAGATACTTAATGCCATTCAACTTCCACCATAATAAAATATCAAAATATGGACTTCTTGGTAAAACTTCCTCTTTTAAATAAACATCCAACTCCGTTTTAACAGATGAAGTTCTAGCTCTTTTTTTCTTCTTCTTATGAAATACAAATCATAGTCTTTCAAACCATCGTTACTAACATTACCAACATTAGCATCCGGCGTTTCAGATTCACTTCTAGAATCCTTGTTCATTTTCAATTGATAATCATAAAGCAACTCGTAACACACCTGTCTGATTGACTTAACTTGGAAATCAACATCATTCCCATAGAAGACTCCATAATAATATTCAAGCAAATCAGTTTTATACCTAGGATCCAAAACAGCGGCAACCCCTATCATTTCATGAATCTCACTCTGTGATACGGTGGGAGAACTGACTTGAGGTTTTGCGTTTGTGTTTGCAAATGTTGCGGTTTAGCAAGAGTCGCCACCGACTTTTCTTTTATCCAAAAAGGAAAGGTGAAAAAGCACAGGAAAGACCTTTAGAGATGTTTTTGAGTTCGGGGGATAGATTATGAAAAGGGAAGGTATTAACACCCTTTTCATCCATGGTTTTCCATGGGCTCTTAGTTACTCGCTAGATCACTTGCTTTTGTTTGAATGTGTTTTGTGTGGTTTTGAAAGTATTTTTAAAATGTAGCTTTGTAATGATTCTCGTTTCTATAAGAATGTATACAAAGTTTTTGTTTTGAAAATAGTTCAAAAAGGTGTTTTGTGGGATGTGTTTTTGAAAGTGATTTTAAAAGGGTTTTCTTTGTGATGGCTCTCGTCTCTATAAAAACGCGTACAAAGTGTTTGTCTTTTAAAAATGTTTCAAAATGAGAGTGTTGGTGTATAAAATGTTTTGTTGTGAGCAAGCGAGCAACTAAGAGCGAACCTACCGACTCGAAAGGTCTTAAGTGTGCTTTTCCTTCTCCTTTGGATGTGGCTATCTTACCATTGATTTGGTAGGAAGCCCCATCGTTGGATGTAAAGGGACGGGCATTTGGGTCATCGTGTGACCATGATAGCAATGTTGTGAGATGGCTTAGCATTTTTCTTTAGGGACTAAGATCATTTTGAAAGGCAACTTTCATAGCGTCATCGAGGGACTATGATCTTATATTTCGATTGTTTTTGCTAAGACACCCCACATGCATAACATGACCATATTTTTAGGCAACAAGTGGAGTTAACCTTAAGGTGCATGTGTGAATAGTGTGTTTGATTGCATGCATTTTAATCTTGAATAGGATTGTCTATTTTGTTGTTTTCATATCTTGCCATACATCCTATTTACTAGCAATATATGAAAAGCAAGTAAAACGCAAAAAATAGAATCTAAGCTATTACATCGCTTTAGGGGGATGAGGATACATATTTTATGAATGGGGTTGCAAGTAAAATTAAATCCTAAGTTATTATTACAACCATATCGAAATTGATCAGAATGTGCAAGAAATGTGAATTGCTTATTTATTTAAGAAAAGAAATAAGTTTTTTTTGTCTAAGGAAATATTTTTTGGTCTTTTGTTTTAAGAAATAAAGTAAAGTATGGAAAAAAAATGTTTTTGGTGTTTTTTGATTAATAGAAAGTGATAACAAATACAGTGAGAAAAAGTAAAAATAGAATCAACGTGTTGCTGATTAAGAGAGGTCAGAAGTTCTGACCCTGGCGCACTACAAAACAGAATTCCTGTTAGTAAAAAAAAACATAAGTAGAGTCAGAAGTTCTGAGTCCACTGGGAGTACATCAACCTTCAGAAGTTCTGATACCACCGGCAACAGAGGAGGTTTCAGAAGTTCTGATACCACCAGCAATAAAGTGGATTTCAGAGGTTCTGATACCACCGGCATAACTTGGTCTCTCTTTCCATGCTAGTCAGAACATCTGCAACTTAGTCATTTCTTCACAAAACAGAAAATGTGCATATGAAAGTTATGGCAGGTGTCATAATGTTTCAGAAATAAGAAATACCAGAACTACAAATCAGAGGCAAGTATGAATACTAATCCTAATTCTGAGTTCTAATTTCTTCTAGAAGTTCTGAACTGTTTTATTCCATACTTAGGCATGCAAATATGTGAAGTCTCAGAATATGTATAACGTCAGAAACATGATATCTACATTTTGCTTTTTGAACATGAAAATCTGATAATGCTTAAGCAACGTGATAAGAGTCAGCAGAAGCTTACCTTGCAGCTGGAAAAGATTCTGTAAACTGGAGGTTGGTCCTGGACCCTGGTGACGTTCTTAGCAACTTCTTCACGTACTCAACAGGATGGAGGTTTTCAACTTCAGGAACAGCCAAGGGGTGATACTCTGACCTCTTTGAGGTGGAGGTGAATGGAGAGTGTATGGCAGTATTGTGAT